CCTCTGGCGACCATAATTCTTAGCGTGCCCCTTAGCGTTACCATGGAATGTTTAGGTGTGACGTAATTATGCGATAGGGCAATTCCTATCCGAAAACGGTACTATTCATATGTGGATGGAAAACTTTAGAATGTGAAATTCTCGTTTTCACATTTATCTAGCATAGTATGGACGAGACAACTAAAGCTCCGTCCGCACTATGCTGGAAAAATCAGTCCACAGCTGCATTTAGCCGCACGGATACGAGGGACTCAAGTTTGTCACTCAAAATGCATAATATGTGCGGTATAAAGTACTTTTTCATGAATTGATGAAAAATAATGCATATTACACAGTAATAAACCAAAACAAAAATGATAAAGATGATGCATGATAATGCTTGTAAACGCAAACTCTCTGAAAAACGCAAACGCTTGTAAACATCAGCGTTCGTAACCCCCCAATGCTTACATACGATCTTAAACTTCTCTAAAATGCTCGTGAATTAAAAGGTTTCTAAACCAAACGCTTGTAAACACAAACGCACATAAACGCATATTTCAAAAGAGCAATCGTTTAGGAGTCATTTCAACCCATCCTTTAGAACCGTTGGAGTCAAGCTGCTTTGTATGGACAGGACGTGTGTACTGATAAAAGAAACGCTTACTCGTGACGTCTGCGTTTTCACATTGTTGACCCAAATGGAGATTAAACATAAACTTTATACGCCCTCACACAAAATCGCGTTTTCAAAACCAACTCTGCTTACAGAAATACACGTTTACATTGATCATTTTCGTACCATAAAATAAAACCTGGGCTTTGGAATCTAAAAAGAACTTGTATTTGGATAAGATGGGAGTAAAAAAAAACGAACTATCATTCCTACGAGAGCCTGTACCCTTTTAGTACTTCGTGAAAAAGATAACATTTTACTCATTGTTGCTACAAAATGCACCTCGAGCACTAAATTAAACTTGTAAAAWGTTTGCGTAACGCGAGTTTTTGTGTTGTTAACCGTTCGAAAACAGCAACAAAAAATAAGTTTTCGCCCATGACGCTTCATAGTGGATTAACGCCTATTTATTACAATAACAATGGAGATTATCACTGTTTTTATATACCTGTGAAAAACAAAGGTTTTATGTTTAATTTATATTTTTTCATCTTCTAAATATAAATTATATACATGTCTTTTATGTTTATGTTTACAACGTATACTTGGTAATAACAATGTTTTTGCTTATTACTTAATCAACAACTTTACCTGCACTGGTTCGAAGCTTTCTTATTTTCTAACGTGTTCTTGGAATTTGTTTACAAAAAAGAAAAACAAAACAAAACAAAACAAAACAAAACAAAACAAAACAAAAATAAACAAAACCAAACCAAACCAAATAACAAAACAAAAACATGCAGTCTTAAAAGTGTTATGGCAATGATTTTAAAACATAGATTAAAGATGACTTTGTACTGTCTTGCCCACCAAGTCAGTAAGAAAAGTGAGTTTGAGCCACAAAAGAACATTCTGAGTTCAAAATCAAGATTTTCATGTMGATGCAAGCTCAATGAGAAGCCTTGGTTCTCATTTGGTTTAAATAACAATAATAACGATAACAAAAATGACTGGTTGTAATGTTGACAGATTATAAAGGTAATATCATAATTGTTTCAGTTTTCTATCAAAATATCACTGAGATGACTGGTGTTATTACAAGCCCTGGATATCCATCATCCATGATGCAAGGCGATTACCGCTGGACATTCATGCAAAGCTTGACTCATACACATGTAGTTCTAAAATTTGATGAACTGGATTTACGGCGGTCTCTTAGAAGCCTCGTGTTTAGAAAACCAATGTAGCATTTTTTTACGTTTCTTAAAAGTACGCATTCCTCTGACATTGAGAGTTGTGTTGCAGTTTTCTCCTTTGATCTGGAAAACGTAACACTGAAATCAAACAGTGATTTTTATGCTTTTAGCAAAAATCATAATATTGTGCAGTGTTTTTCCAAATATTTTTCATTTAAAGATGAGGAATCAAGATCAGCAGGAAGGAAAGATGCAGTAATTTTATTAACGCGTTGTTTAGTTACTTTCTTGATTCTTAATTGCAGGATGTTTCAATGATCTACATGGAGAAAGCGGAAAGTTGTCGATTAATAAATCCAACTGTTTATGGACAATTGGAAAAGGCAAAAATAATATCAATTTCATAGTCATCAAATTCCAGCCATTTGATCTCGGATATAGATGTTAGTAAGTAACATTATATTAAGTCTATTAGTACCTGGTTTCTTTATTTGTAACTTAAACAAACACTCGCGAAAGTACGGATAGAGTTTTCTTCTCTCCTCCCTTTTTACCATGCATTTTCTTTACTTCTCTTTATTTCGTATTTCCTATTCTCTTTACTTTTTAACAAATGTAAAAACAACAAATGATACTAATTTTGAACCTGTTCATTTCCTTCATATATCGCTCATCTCACCTCAACAGTTTTACTTGTTACTGACGCTCGCAAATTCTTTATTAGGTTCCTTACCTACAATAATTAAACATAACGTTCAATGTATCTTTGCCGCAGTTATTATCAAGCGACCTACTTTGAGATCGCTGATGAGAAATATGAATTTAGAGTTAGAGAGTGTGGTGGAATGCGCCCATTTGAAGTTTTGATCAAGGATCGTCCAGCAGTAATCAGATACCACTCTGATAATGGCTACTGGCACAGGTTTTCTGGAGTTAATGTCACCTTCTACATCATCACTCAGAAATTGTCAGGTCAGAACTCTTACAATTGCTAGGCGGGTGCTTTTATGATTATTATTTTTTCATCATCATCTTTATCATCATTATCATCATCATCATTATGTTTTTTCCTAGAAAACACATTATGCATTGACGAAACCCTTGTCGAACTACTTCCTATTTGTTTATATACATTTCAATTGTTTCTAATGCATTGCTCTTCTCTTTTCAAAGGTTTCAATGCAGAGAGCTGGAAACCTGTTTTAAAAGAATCCAAACCTGGTGAAGTAACTGTTAACTGGGATCCCTTGACGCTGCCATCAAAGAACTATATTGTTGTACCGTTGTATAACTCTACTGCGAAAGGGGAGCCATTCCTGCACATCATTGAACATAAAAATAACACATCAATAGCAGTGGAATACCTTAAACCAGCTACTTCATACTGGTTCAAAGTTATTGCTTTTGATCCTACGAATACGACCGGGTCCTTCATCGAAGCCACTACATTATCTCTTGCAATGAAAAATGGTAAATGCACTTTCTGATTAAGTAATTGGCTGCCAGAATTCCATTGACTGATGCCCATATGTGCATGTCGATATAGAATCGATTTTTAAAAAAAGKAGTCTGATCAAGACACACAATTTTGTGTAAAAATAGAGCAAGTGAGACTAGTTCAGCGAAATTAATTTAATCGGTCACCATCTATCATTTTTTAGAGACCTTGAGGTTAATGGGTGGACAATTTTCCAACGAGGGAAGAGTTGAAGTATTCAAAAATGGCTCATGGAATAAGATATGCGGTTATCCTTGGTGGAATACCAATACTGCTAACGTTGTGTGTCGATCGTTGGGTCTACCCAGTCCTACTCATAATACGCCTCGTGGACTGCTTCTTGCGTCAGCAACCCCAGTAGACACGACCCTAGTGCTTTCATATCTTTGTAATGGAACGGAAACAAATCTCAAAGAATGTTCATGGATTATTGCATCTTCAATTTGTCAGCGAGCAAATTTGTCTTCTCAAGCTGAAGTGGTATGTGGACACCCATCAGGTAACCATTAGTTACCTATTAGAGTTTTTCTGCATCCTCTGTTTTTCACTCCAAAAGACAGAGGCTGTGTTTGAACATGCTAATGATAAGATGCATGCAAATGGATGTTGATGACCTTTGTTTCATGGTGCGAACAATGTCATCCATTCGTACAGAAATATTCAAAGCGTTATTGCTGGCCTGTGCACGTATGTGTCGTCAAAAATAGAGTAGTTATTGATAAATCTCTATAACCAATTTGGTAATGACTCATATACAAGTTACTCTTTGGCCCTACCCGCGCTTCCCTGCTAACAAAGGCATTGCTACGGACACCTCTGTTGTTAGCAGGGAATATGTGCGCAAAAACGACCGCACTTCAGCGACGTACGCAAACTCTCATAAACGCTATTTACTTGTGTGGCGTTTAGGGCTGGCCTTTCCACAGGCAACCCAAGCAGAGCATACAAAAAATTTTTTTTAATAAAATCATCTTACCTTGATATCATGTGTTCTTGATGTTATTTAACATTGCTGTGTGTGGTTTTGAAGGGATTTAGACCTATTTTATAAAAAATATCACCCTCAGTAGTAAAAGACTACAAGGCTGGTTACAGAGAATCCGCACCACTCGTCTTTAATAGCCGAAAAAAATATCTTAAATCCATATTTTGCCTCCAAAATACCTTCAGCGGCATGTCTCTAGGATCTTTCTATCCAGAATTGGGCAACCTTTCAACGGTTTATAAATCCAACCGTGCCAAATCGTCATGTTTGTACGCTATTCGGACTCAATTTTTGCATCCGG